CTGTGTTTAGATCGTTGACTTTAGTTTAAGTTATCGCATGTAAACAAGTATTTCCAAGGCACACCTTTTATATGATCATTATAAAAAACAAGACAATAACAGGTATGAAATAATTCCAACTCATAGGACAGTAAAACAAAAATACAGTTTAAAAGGGGAGTGATTTGTAAAATATGCATAAAGAAAAAGTAAGTCTGTTTTAAACAGTACTGTTTCACATGGGTGTTGTTGAGAGAAGTACTATCCACAGATTTAGTCCACCACCTGCCCACACCCCCCGTCACATTGTCCCACCCACATTGAGGATGCTTCCTATGCCCATGCTTCAATGCAACGTAGGAGACTGCCTCGTGGTTGCTGTGTGTGTGTGTGTGTGTGTGTGTGTGTGTGTGTGTGTGTGTGTGTGTGTGTGTGTGTGTGTGTGTGTGTGTGTGTGTGTGTGTGTGTGTGTGTGTGTGTGTGTGTGTGTGTGTGTGTGTGTGTGTGTGTGTGTGTGTGTGTGTGTGTGTGTGTGTGTGTGTGTGGTGTGTGTGTGTGTGTGTGTGTGTGTGTGTGTGTGTGTGTGTGTGTGTGTGTGTGTGTGTGTGTGTGGTGTGTGTGTGTGCATAATGGCGGTCGCTATTTTAATGTAGCATAACTGAGCTCTTTGATCAAAGTGAATGCAAATAAATGTAATTGTTTACAGCTCCTGTACATTTTGTACAAGATATTTTCCGGGTTTATATCCTAAGTATTTTGTGTGTGTGTTCTATGGTCAGAGTTAATACATAAATGCTTGTTGGATGCTAATGCCAGCACAGATTAGATAGATTCTGATGCTTTGCCTGGGAAGGTATTTAAAAGGGTTTGATTACAAAATCAATATCTCCATCCATCCATCTTCTCCCGCTTATCTGTGGTCGGGTCTCGGGGGTAGCAGTTCCAGCAGAGAGCCCCAAACTTTCTTTTCCCTGGCGACATCAACCAGCTCTGACTGGGGGATCCCAAGGCGCTCCCAGGCCAGCGAAGAGATGTAATCCCTCCACCTGGTCCTAGGTCTACCCCTTGGTCTCTTCCCAGCTGGACGTGCCTGGAACACCTCCCTAGGGAGGCGCCCAGGTGGCATCCTAACTAGGTGCCCGAACCACCTCAACTGGCTCCTTTCGACGCGAAGGAGGAGCGGCTCAACTCCGAGTCCCTCCTGGATGACTGAACTTCTCACCTTATCCCTAAGGGAGACACCAGCGACCCTGCGGAGAAAACCCATCTCGACCGCTTGTATCCGCGATCTCGTTCTTTGGGTCATGACCCATCCTTCATGACCATAGGTGAGGGTAGGAACGAAAATGACCCGGTAGACAGAGAGCTTTGCCTTCTGGCTCAGCTCCCTTTTCGTCACAACGGTGCGGTAAAGCGACTGCAGTACCGCTCCCGCTGCTCCGATTCTCCGGCCCATCTCACGCTCCATTGTTCCCTCACTCGAGAACAAGACCCCGAGATACTTGAACTCCTTCACTTGGGGTACAAAAAAAAAATCAATATCTGAATAGAGAAAGTGGGGTTAGGTCATTTTGGAGAAACCAGCTCGAGTGCGCTATAATTTGAAAATACACAACCGGAAAAAATCTGCCACTTCCTTACAGAGCCCCTCCTCCAACACACACAAACGCGCACATGACCAATGAGGGCACGAGATAAGTTTGGAAGGCTGACAGGCAGGTAGGCCATCCAGTTATTTTAGCCGGGCCGGCTCAGATGATTGGTCGTGCTTTTTACAGAACTACGGCTTCCAGAGATGACATTTTTTAATGGATTTTTTGTCAAAGCATTTAAGATATTCATTGCTATCGGGATGTTAAGAGCATTCCATGGAATATAACAACAAGTGTATCTCGAGCCGGTTTCTCAAACGTACCTACCCCACCTTTAAGTCATGGTGTTTATTTCAAATATATTGAAGACATGCATATATATATACACATGTGTTTATATTAGGGCTGTCAAACGATTAAAATGTTTAATCAGATTAATCACTGCTTAAAAATTAATTAATCATGATTAATCACCATTCGAACTATGTCCAAAATATGCCATTTCTTTATGTATATTGTTGTGGGAATGGAAAGATACATGAAAGAAGGCGGATATATCCATTTAACACAGTATGTATGTTTATTATAACATTTTTCTGTGTGTCAAAATGAAAGACAGCCCACACACCTATCAATCATCAAACCGTGGGGTCTTATTTCAGTGTTGATTTCTATCAACAGGGGGGGGGCTAGTGGAGTACTTCGTGACCACAGAGTGTGAAAGTTGTGATCAGCTGTTTTAGCGCAGTTCTCCAGTGAAGGGGGGGAGTCTCCCCCCGCAGCCGGTTGGCGTAGTTTTGGCACAATTCCGTTGTACAGACCGACGTTAACAGCAGCCCTGTCTGTGCACACGGAGACCGACTCTGTCGTCCGGTGATCTAACCGCCTTCTGGAAAAGCTTCACAAGTACGTCGGTACGCAAATGCGCTTTGTGACACAAGTGACGGTACGCATTTCAGATTACGCACATAACCTACGTACCAGTTATGTGTTACCTGTACTACAGCAAAAGTATTCTCCGTCGGGACTTCCTGCAACATCACCACGCCGTTATCTTGATTCTGATTGGCTAGAAGACATTATCAAAGATGTTCTATTGAGAAGACGATCACTACGTGACAAAACATTTCAAAACCGTTTCTGGTCTTCGGTATTTCCAGACAAGTGGCTACTGAAATCAATCTTACTAACTGCTGTCTGTGCAATTTACTCCGCGCGAGTTGGCGGACTTTATTTTGCTTACTTTAACATCATTTTTCATGGTGGGGCTAAGCCATTTCTTGGTATGGGTGTAGCCTACCCCAGCCATACCCTGGCGCTGCCACTGGTGGGATTTATGGGGCGGCCCATTCTGCACATGCGTTAAATATTTTAACGCAATTAATTCAAAAAATTAATTACCGCCGTTAACGCGATAATTTTGACAGCATTAGTTTATATTGAAGACAGAAAAGGGCATTAACAATTGTGTGTGTGCCAAATGAATAATACATTCTGGCAAGACCCGCCAAACGAGCAGCAAAGAATTTGGTTGTTCATAATTTCTCCTGTTTTGCAGGAATATTATCTGTTATCGCGCCCTGCATAGCGGGGCCTGTTACAGTGGCGTGATCATTATTATTTAGAGTCATTGCGTGCCTATTGATTTGAACACGATCCGTGTATCCATCATTTCCTGGTCTTCTCTAAAGAAGAGGGACCAATGGAAACGTTGTTATGTTGCCGTTGTTCAGCATGGAAACATTCATTAGCTAACAATGACATTATTGTTCTATTAATATAAAGGGAGGTCAGGTACTCTTTAAAACTGCTGCTAGTTATGGGTACTTTTTACTGAAGTACATTTCAAAGCCCTCTTTACTTTGACTTCAGTAAAGAAGTTTAGTCAGTACTTCTACTTTCACCAGAGTATTTTTAAACACGAGTATATGTACTTCTACTTGAGTAAAGGATGTGTGAACTTTTGCCATCTCTGCCCTAACCCTACCTGACGGGAAACAGTAATGGTCAGTTAGAACCTCGACATTTAAAGTATCTGTACCAAGGGGCACTAACCCTGACCCTGGTTGCAGAAAGAAGTCAGATTGTATAGACGACTATGAGAAAATGACCCTACTTCTCACTCTATGAAATACCTCAGTTAATGGTCTCATTTCCAGTTCTATATGGGGATATTTAGGGGGTCAGTAAGGGGTCTGTTATTGGGAAAGTGGTCCATGTTGGCCTTGGCTTTTCCAAGTGAGGTGATATTATTGTATTTCCTTACAGTGTTTAGAAACAGACTCATATTTTTCCTTACCAGAAGGATTTCCATGTTGACATCCCTGAACCCCGGAGCGGCAGGCTCACCGCTAAGCCTTCTGGGAAATTCTGGATGCCAATACCGATGGCCAAATTTCTGAGGACACAAAAAACAAACAAAAAACATTCAGAGGGAAAGACTCACATGAAACTTTGGGTTTCATGTGAGTCTCTACTGGACTCTATGGGTACTACCTTACCCTGCGAGCATTCTCCCACTGAGACTTCTATAGACGTAGCCGGCCTTGGGCGGGTTAGTTAGGGTTAGGGTTAGGGTTAACCCAGCTCATGTGTACACTGACTTCCATGGACGCCAGACCCGGAAGGAACGGCGAATGTGAATGGCACCGCCTCGGCCATATCCTGGTCCCCCAAACACTCGAATCTAGCAGTGGCGACTCCCTGGAGGTATGATAACTCTTTTTAAACGTCTCTCAGTCTTTCGTGGAATCACTTCCGCTGCTGAAGAGAAAAGGATGATAGTCAGGAGGTGAGGCCTCCTTTTATACGGTGTGATGCGCGCGCATTCAGGTAGGCCCGCCCAAGGCCGGCTACGTCTATAGAAGTCTCAGTGGGAGAATGCACGCAGGGTAAGGTAGTACCCATAGAGTCCAGTAGAGGGCGGAGCCTGTGAGAGATATAACTACAAGTTACAACACAATGTTGTTAAAATATGTTGTAAAACCTATTTTCTATTACATTACAGTATATCAATAATAATAATAATAATAATACATTACATTTTTATTGCGCTTTTCCTGGTGCTCAAAGACACTTACAAAAAGAAAGAAATCAAGACCATCTTCTGCTGGTGGGGCTACACATAAATAGTTCAGGCCCCAGATCTTAATGCTGATTCTAGAAGGACATATGAGCAATCATGCTAATCAATTAACTTCTTTTGGAAATGTTGAATCTGTAGGAGTTTGGATCATGATAATGTTCTTTGTTTTAATTCTGAAAGACAGACACAAAGAGGACTTTGTGCTCGCAGTTTGTTTAAACGGTAAACATACAGAGGCTTTGGACATCTCTTATGTCTTCAATATGTCAACAAGACTCAATGGTGCAATGTGAAATTTTAACAACTGTGGTAAACATTTAACAGTTTGTGCTTTTAAATCTGACAGAGATACCTGAACCCTCTCGACAGAGGAACCCATTACCACTGGATCGTTGTTGATTGATTATTTGTACAGTTCTCTTCTCATAAGGTAAGTTAATGCTTCCTCCAGATAGACTGCTTCAAAACAACAATGTACACATTCTTTCCTATTTAGGTTTTTGTATTCACTGAGTTTTTGTATAACTTTGTATACCTTGATCTGGGTCAATATTCGATTCTGATTGCCTGCAAGTTGCAAGGAGTTCTTATCAAAACAGCGTTTCCTTATATATGGACAGAAGATAGGCTCTTTATTACACAATCAGTTAGTTAACACAGACATCATGAAACGTTCTTCTGCTCTTTGTGCTCCCAGCCAAACAGAAAATGCACCGGTGGGGATATTTAGGGGGTTTTATGGTTCGTAAGGGGTCTGTTATTGGGAAAGTGGTCCTTGGTGGCCTTGGCTTTTCCAAAATGAGGTGATATTATTGTATTTCCTTACACTGTTTAGAAACAGACTCACGTTTTTCCTTACCAGAAGGATTTCCATGTTTCTGGCCGAAGACAAAATGCACCGGTGGTGGTGGGAGCCAATGCCTCCGGAAGAGCGACTTGCTCTGCTTGATGTGTTGTCAGATGCACTGTTTGCTTCAGAACAATGGCACGGTATTGAAATTGACAGGTATGCATTGTTCAAAGAAAATACATGTCAGTGTTTCAACTTTTGAAGATACTATATATTTTTACACAAACCATTTAATGATTTTGATCTTGTACCGTCATTGGGTCAGGATTGTATTTGTCAAAGGGCATTTGAGAAGTACCCGATAACAGCAAGTGAGACAAGTCAGGGATTCATGAGAACTAGGAACCTTCAACAGGCTGACCGGTGAACATTAGACACTAAAATAGTTGTTTAAAAAGGTTTGTTTGTTTACTTATAACCATCACAAGATGCTCCCACAAAGCTGCAACGACGTACTTATCTCTGCAGATCCTCCCTCTCAAGCCGTCGGTATACTATCGGAATAATTCCTCGCTAACAAACATCAATAGATCTCCATAAACGACTGTCAATCCTACACTGTCCTAATCACTCATGGTGTCCCCCAGGGTCCAGTCCTCGGCCCCCTTCTTTTTGTACTCTAAATCCTTCCCCTCTGACAAATCCTGCTTCCCTGCTATACCGATAACATTCAACTTTAACCTCCAAAATCTTCTTACTGATATTAAATCTTGGATGCAACAGAACTTCCTTCAACTCCACTGCAACCCATCAGAAACACTCAATCAGCCCAACTCTGACATATAGTAACAATGAATACATGCTTAGTCATGAGATAACTGACCATATCAGAGTACATTAGACCCATGATCAGAGCAATGATCACCCACTGTGTGGTCACATGACACTTTGTGACTGAACACCTTCCTGAATGCTGAGATCTACTGTCTGTTGACATGTAAGGCTTAGAGAATATTATTATTTATATGTTAAATATAACATTATAGCATTCAATTCTCTGATAATCATCATTTCCATTACAGAAGACTAATGAATATTTCTCTGCACTCAGCTCCCTGCTAAGTTACTCTGGACTCAACTCAACCGATGTGCTGGACAGTTACCGTGAACAAGTCTTTAACGATGAAGAACCCCTCGATGTTCCAAGTATTGTAGAGAAGCTGGGTGGTGCACTCGCTGGGTTCGAAACGGTGCCCAACGCTGTGGGACTCGGTGCTCTCATCATTTCCATGATCTTAGAGATAGTCGGGAAAAGCTTGGGGAAAAAAACCATGGGCACGGCTGAAATGTTGCAGAGGGTGTTTGCAGAGGAGAAGGGCAATGAGGTGAGACCCTGATGGTTCCTCTGGTTATTAACAGGTTGCAAAGGTTAGCTGCTGTGACTTCCTTCCTTTGTTTCCATTAAGCCTCTAAAAACAAACATTTGAACGCCTTGTCTTTTAATTTATTTATTTTACTCACAGCTGTGACGACTTCTTTGCGTGTGTTGATGTTGTGCAACTTGGGCCACTTAAATAGGCCTTTATAATATTCGATCAAATCAAACCAAAAGAGGCTAAACTCAAATCAGAATGATAAACAAACTTATATTGTTTTCTGTGCATATCTGTGTCTCCTAAAGGCTTGGGAATTGTCTTTCATAGTCTCTTGACTACAGAGGTCGCCACTAGGTGACAATATTTGACCTTTTCACAAAACCATAAATCTGTCTCTAACATTAAGTCATATTTATAAAAATTAATGATTTTATTTCAGAACAAATGTTTAACCTTTTAAAGTTAACCCTTCAAAATCGATATCTAAAACGTTTATCTGACCAATATTTGAAATAGGCTTTCATAAATGTTGACATTCTTTTACTGTGAAGGTCCGAGACCTGATGGACGAGTATTTGAAGCATCTGCAGATCAACTTGGGGAAGCCACAGCTCCAACTAGCTGAGACCCGGCAAATAGAGCTCGATCTCAGTGCGCAGCTAACGCGGCTAAAGGTACAACCGAGTAAAAGTCTTCCAGCTGTATTTGAAGGATCATGCTACATTGATATCTCCTGTTATGTCCTTCTCAATCACTAATTCACTCATTTGAATAAATTGTTTCTCAGGAGGTCCTTTGAGGAATTCAATTTAACTTAAAACGTTAATTCAACCGTTAACTCAAATGTAAATGGTAAAGTGGGATAGGCTAGACAAGCATAATGTACACTGCCTTCTATTCTGTATATTTATATTGTGTATTCAATGTATATACTCTATAGATATATATATCCTCATTATTGATATGTTTATATTCACTGTTTTGCATATTTAGTTAATCTTGGCGACGAAACAGTTTCCCAAATTGGGATCATTAGAGTATATCTTATCTTAATCAGTAAGTAATCCTATTGTCATGGCGTTTTAATCTGTTAATACATTTAATAACCACTTTCGTCTATCTGTCTAACTTCTTCTAGTGTGACTCACAAAAAATAAATAGTTAAGAGTTTACTCCAAAGCAGGGGTCGGCAACCTTTTTGATATGAAGTGCCATTCAAAAAAAAAAGTTCAATCAGCGTGCCGACGATCGTGAAGTATCAACAGGAGGGCGAGGGAGCCTCGCTGCTGATCACTGATCCAGTAATGAGTGACAGTGAAAAATAAATATATTTATAACTAGTTCCAGAGGTAGATAAAATAGCTAAGTGTGTTAGGTCTAACTCAGTGTGTGTCGCTCCGCTCTCCGGTCCGTCTCAGCGGGTGGAGCTGCAGGATTTCTGCTTCACACACGTTACCGCTATTTGTCATTTTCAGACACCTTAAAAATACTGCCAGACTGGTGAAGCCATTTTGGCGAGCTTGTTTTGCCGCACACAGAGAAAAGTGTCATGTATTTGTAGGCATTTTTAGAAAGCACTGATCAATCGGCAGAGAGTGAGTATCGGTCGATAAAGATCGCCACGCAAAAACTGCGGCATTTCTACAGCTCCTTATGGGTACTGCAATTTGTGAAGTGCTTTCCTCTGTGGTGAAACTATCAGCACTGCACCACGGAGGAAAGTGGCAGAAAGTCGCCTGGAGTTAAAGAGAGCGGGGCTGCGCTGCGTGCATGGCTTCCTTCTGTAACGGGGAGACGCGCTCTGGCGGCGGTCTCGTTCAGGATCCGAAAATCCAATTTAAATATTTTGCACACTTATTCCACTTATTCCTAGTGTGCCACTGGTTACGGTGCCGCTTGCCGACCCATGCTCTAAAGCCTTATATTAATAAGACAAACATTCAAACCATAATGATGAAAGGAAAATGGCTCTAACACCTATGTGATCCTTTTTCTTTCCCAGAACTCCATGCTGGTCGATGGACATATGAACTCTATGCTTCTGAAGCAGTGGGTGAACGGCGCTGCGTTTCACACCCAGATGTTGATCCATCAGGCTCGTCTGGAGGAGGCCGACGGGTCGAGAGCAGTGCGAGCAGCGGGCGTTTATCAGCAACAGCTCAACGTTATTATAGATAGATACAAGAAGTACCTGATTGGTATTACACATATTACAATATTGACTACGAGAGATCAATCAACAACGTATATTCTGTCATTCAATGAGGGGCCGTTGTCTGGTTATTCAGCTCCATGGTACGCTCTGCAATATAAGAGCCAATTCACTGACACTCAAATGGTTGAGCATTTGTTTTCGAAACAGCAGATTTCTTGGACAACGAGTTATTTCACAGATTTAGCAGCAAATATTCCGACTCTGGTGAGACAACATGCCACCTTTCAAATTCAAAACTGACATTGAAGCTCTTTGTTTGTAAAGCCATGAGACCAACATCAAACCAAACTTTACTCTTAAACTCAAAAAGGCAAATATTTTAAACTGGACACGCAACGGATGTTCAGACTAAGAGAGAACAACTATTGCTATGACATTTGGTTTATCCATCCATGGTGACCATAGGATGAATCCTGATGACATTATCAAGTCCACATTTATAATTTGCCCAATAATTTGGTTTATGTTAAAAACTGCAAAACTAAACATTCCCATAATCCTCAGCTGTGCTTTGTGTTTCTGTAAATGAAAGCAACCTGACGCAATTTAGAAAAACGGTACACAGTGACCGTTAAACCTGTTAGCATATGTTAGCTTAGTCATTGTTAGAAAGTTAGCATGTTGAAATTAGCATTTAGCCGAGGGCACAATACTCAGGCCCTGCAATAAAGAACTCTTACTGTATGCCTTATGAATGCACAATAACAAGGAGAGAGACATGCTATGCAGAGAGTTGGTCAATGTCTGTTTATGTGTTTCGTGTATCTGCATTTGCATGTGAGGTTGGTAAGGGTTAGATGCAGTGAATTAAATGTGTGTATTTTACAACCAATGTCTTATTATTGAATTGTTTTAACATACTATATAATTGTTTACAAGGATACAAAGTTCTTCATACATCAAACGTCCTAATTCTGCTCTCAAAGTGCACCAGATTGATGCATTTGACTTTAACAATTTGACACAATCTTCCTCTGGGGTAGCAACACCCAGCATGGTCTCACAAACATACTTCTTTACAAAGCTTCCTGCAGCTCTATAGTGTAACCAGTAGATGTCAGCAGCACAAAGCAGAGACAGCTGTAAAGTCTGACTGTTTTATAAACGTGAGCTCGGTCAGACTGTAAAACATACATGTTTACATTATTGATCATCAGTCCAAAATAGACACAAAAACGTATTTTTGTTGAGGATCTGAAAAAGGATCAATGGTATCTGTGAGTGAATATTGAGAGCCTCAAAACACATACATTGAAGACAAGTGTTGATCTTGTTTAATTATAGAAATACTTTGTTATTCAGAGTAAACATCAGCATTTAAACAATTCAACAAAATGTGATTCCTCAGACCGCCAGCAGGGGGCAGCAGAGTCCTGACAGGAAGAAGGCACTACATCTGTTTACAGGAGACTGACATTTGTTTGTTTTAAATGTGTTGAGTGTAAACAAACACACCACATTGTGTGTCGAAACAGAACAGAATATTCATCAATTACCAAATTGAACTTCATCAGAACTTCAAGTGTTGCCATCCTGAGGAAATACAAACATGGGAAGTGTGAAGTAAAAACTTCTTTGCAGCAATGTTGAGCGCATCATCAAATGAGGGAAACTGGATTCGCCTGTCAATACACTGATATTTATTGAGAGACAGACAATTACATACGGCCGGGAGATCATCCTAGTTTCACACTGTCCTTGTGCTCCACCAAGGTAATCTCTGAACCAAAAGACACAAAACATCTAACCAACACGAGGAGAGGCGGGCTCCCAGAAAGCCCGCGTATAATCAATAGCCGATGCGAGACAATGGTCTGCTTGTCTCAAAGAGATGCTGCCAGGTCAACCCCCCACGGACATAGGAGAAGCGTTTGACCTGTGACCTCAACCTACAGAGGAGTCTCTGACTGACTACAAGCAGATGTTTGCAGTATCACAGATTCTATAAAACAATAAGAAACTCTATAAACAGATCAGATGAAAATATTCTCTTACAGATTCACTCTTTTTATCAATCTATTGATAACCAATTAACATTAGTCTAAGAATATTTCAGTCAATACTTAAAATCAATAAGCATCTTCAGAGTTGGGTGGGCTCAGATACATTCATTACATTAAAAATAGAACAAGATTGAAAAACACTTCAATCACCATGATTGAACACAGTCAATCATAATAAAAATCATCTCTCTTCAGTGCTTGGCATCTTTTGTCAAAAGGCACAATAATAAACACATGGGATACAACAATATTATAGCAAAATATATCTTTCAAAAATAAGATATTTTATCATTTATCACTCAGTTAATCTCCTTCATCAAACACAAATTCTAAATCATCTTATATCTCAAAGATTTACTTTAAGGCAATTACTTATTAAAACACAATTAGAATTTAGGATTTATAATAAATCCAATTGAGGTATAAATCAGAATCATGAGAGATCCAGCTAAGGTTCCTAGTTAAGGTATAAATTCACAGTGATGAATCGATCAATCTGTAAAGTTACAGTGTCCTCAATCTTTAACATTACTTTACGTTTACTTCATTACGCTTTATTCAAGAGTAAGGCATGATATTTAATTAATTACATTACTTCAACTATCAATCATTATGTCATTTCAAAATCTGAAGGGAAAGCTAAACAATTCTCAAAATGTTTAACAATCTGAAGAATCAAACATTTTATTGTATAACAACCTGAAATAGAAAAATCAAAACATCTGTTCTTTATTCAGAGCATCACTGTAATCAATATCAAAACATCTGTTTTACCTGGTAATGATTAAGGATAGTAACGTTGTCTGTTATAATATTAGAAATATCTTATTGTTCAATACCTTATAAATCTGAAAATATCAATTAATTAGTTTAGTGTGAAAGTGTAATCTGATAACATATATTTATCACCACTATTTAACACATTGGGAATACAAAAACAATCATTAATTGTACATCTGTAATCATCTGGTCATTCAATTCAAATGTTATCTTTGTACGAGAGCTAGAAGACATGTTTTCCTCCTCTCTTTATGACACAGAATGTCTGGTGTGTAAAGGCATCCTGATACTGTAGATTAGCACTGAGGTGCTGATTGGCTCAAAACTCTTCTTCATCAGAGCGCCATAACTCAATTATCTGTAGATTACCACTGAGGTGCTGATTGGCTCAAAACTCTTCTTCATCAGAGCGCCATATCTCAATCCCCCCCAATTGCTCTGCTTTTGTGGCTCAATTCAGTGAGCACTTTATGATCTCCCAGTGAAACAGAGGCTCATCTGCCTGCATTCCTTCTGCTATCTGCTTGAGTGCACCTGCCTATTCCAAGTGGCACATCCAGATGCCCCCCCTGTGATGGGAGAGGTTATGAAAACATCTGCTCCTCCAATGAAACATGGAAACCTTGTATGAAGCCTCTGAAGCCATCGCTCGTCCTGCAGAGTTGTCTGCCTGAGCTCACCGAGCACAAAGATGAAGAAGCATCCCATCTCATCAGAAAGTTGAAGATTAGAATCCTCTCATCTCGAACGACCTCCTTGCCCGTGGATAAGTTGCTCTCTGCAGCCGCAGAGTGTGATCCTCTCTCTCTGACCCTTGGCCTTCAGAGCTCTCCTAGTTATTGGTTTAACACTTGATAGGGATGTTTTCCTGAGTGCAGACAACTCAAGGTAATGGATTAGCACATTATCATTCAATTACAAAAATAGGATAGGCCCCCTCAGAATGATTTGGGAGCCTTCCTGAGACATGCACATTATAAATGTAAGGTTTGTGTTAGTCATTTAACATGCAAGAATCATATACTCATCAGTCCAAAGCAGAGAAATGTTATTTGAAGTTAAATGTGAGCTAGTCCCTGTGGAATAACCCTTTCTCAATGATTATAAATGTTATATTAATTCACCATTTACCGTTTGATCAAGGATTAGTTTATCAGAAGTACATTTCCTCTTCCATAAAACATAGGTTTGAGAAATGAATGTTCCAATATGAAATCAATTACTCAATTTCTCAATATAATTTGACTCTTCCCTCCCTTTTCTTACATATTGTCACATATGAAATAATAACTCAGGAGTCTATCTAAGCATGGTATTGTCTATATAAGCTATTAATCGAGAAAACTCAGAGTGAGTATGCAACTCGCAAATATCTCTCCTCCTTCCTATCCCTCTTTACTCACTTTCCCATCTCTTTCTCTCTTATTTCTGTTAGATATGAAGGAAAAACATACAAGTCCATGTAAGCACCTGAGTTACCACCGTTACCAAACGGTGTGCCGCGGCACACTGGTGTGCCGTGAGGCAAGTCCGGGTGTGCCGTGGGATTTTGTGACAACCATACATTATTTTTTCAATATACAACTACACAAAAATAATCATTTATTTTTCAATTTACTATATCAGTACTTTGTAGGTTTATGTACGTAATCTGCGCGACTTGCGCGTCCACATCTCCACGTGCAGTGCTGCATAAACATGGCTGAGTCAGCGATAACTATCGAGGGGTGGAGGTATGCCCATTATTTTTATATCACGCAGTCTATTCTTCTTCTCTGTCTTCCGGTTGTTGCCTGTATTAAATGACAAATACACACTACCGCCATGGATTTGATATGAACGAGGCGGCAGTTAGCAGCTAGCGGCTAGCTAGTAATGATGTAGTGATATCGGTAATATTAACTCCATTTAATACAACATTTACGGTACAAGATTCAATCATACAGCCCATGTAGTATGACAATGAATTACAGCAAACATGTGCAATATATCCATTATTACAGCTCCGTGGGATGGCAGTAAGACGATATGGATCCGTTCCCATTGTGCATCCATGGGTAAAGATAAACGCAACTCACATTGGTTCCTCATACAGCATCTCTGTAAACTACGTGTATTCACTGAATTTCACTCTCTGCCTTTAACGCTCGTTGTAGCTTCAAAAGCTCCAGCCAGAGCCTGGCTCCAGCACCCTCCCTGTGCCGGGCTGCGCGGTCCCGTGGATTAGATGCGCGTTCATAATGCAGAGGGAAATAACTCTCAGAATAACGTTATTAGCAAATGTTTTACAACTTGAGGAACGAATGTTTTTAATAAGGGCTATACAAGTGTTCATACTGGGTAGTTTATTTAGTTAAAAAATTATCCAACGAGTTACAGACCACTCTTTCCCCATGTAAGTCAATGGGAAAAGTGTTTCCGGGCCTGGCAACCAAACCGGAAGTGTAGTACCGCCGTTTGGCCAGCACGAATATTTTCATCTGAGTCCGGCGCACTACCTGGGGGCTTGACTACCGCCGCCTGCTGGTAAGGAAAGTTATTGCCACTCACGCATGCGCAGTTTGTACGTGCTCGGCGAGGAAAGTAACGAGTAAAGTACCGAGTTACTTTATGTAGATAGTAACGAAGTAGTGTAATATATTACATTTTTTTAAAGTAATACATTTATAATTTGTAGTTCCGGACCATGGACAATGCAGCTTCCTTGCATTGACAGTTGTCTGTGCTGAATTTCTGCTGAGTTTCTTTTGCCTCATTTTCTATTGTGTGACCTGTCTGGTGTAAATTAGTGTGTTGCTGCTTTGATGAAGCCTAATTTGATAAAATTTCAAATTAATTTCGGAAATATTTCGTAATATAGTTGTCTTTGTCACATTTTATTTGGCATTAGTAAATAAATATGCACATTTACAGATACTTTACATAATATGAGTGATAACACGTGTTATAAGGGCTATCTTTTCACAATAGGTGTGCCTTGAGATTTTTTTTTTTACTTGTCCTTTGGTGTGCCTT